AAATATTTAGAACATAGGGTGAAAAAAATTTAGAACATAGGAAAAAAAGTTTAGAGCATAGGGCGAAAAAATTTAGTACATCAGAAAAAGTTTAGAATAGGAAAAAGTTTTGAACATAGGGTGAAAAAATTTAGTATATAGGATAAAAGTTTAGAAAATAGGGTGAGAAGTTCTAAGATTATAGATAGAAAAAGTTTAGAACATATGGTGAAAATTTTCAGAAATATATGGAAAATTCAAAGCATAGACAGAAAAATTTTAAGTAATGGATAAAAAAAGTTTAGATCATAGGAAAATAATTTAGAACATATAAAAAGGCATTGGCAGAAAAAAAAATTAAAGTATTAGCAAAAATACTTTTGAAAAACTAAAGTATTAGCAAAAAACTTATGAACATTTACGGTAAATGAAAAAAAGAAGAACATATGCTAAAAGGCCTAAAACCTATTAGCTCAATTGGTAGAGCACTATGCAAATGCATAGAGAATGTAGGTTCGATTCCTACATAGGTTATCTCTATAAAAAAAAAAAAAAAAAAAAAAATCGAAAGTAAACAATAATAACTTAATAGTAAAACATGAAAATAAATCAAATTATTTTTTCAACTTATGTTCTAAATTATTTTTTTTATGTTCTAAATTATTTTTGCTTATGTTCTGAATTTTTTTTGTATGTTCTAAATTTTTTCTGCTTATGTTCTAAAAATTTTCCCATATTCTAAATTTTTTTCTATGTTTTAAATGTAAACTTTTCAAAATTACAGAAATGTCATTACTAAAGGATCATTTTAGGTGGTTAGATCAAAACTAATAAAGGGCTGAGATTGGTTCTTATATAAGATTGGGTTCTTATATAGAGGAGGGTTCTTACATGAGTCTTCCTCTATATATATATATATATATATATATATATATATATATATATATATATATATATATATATATATATATATATATATATGCATGCATGTCAAAGTTGATATATTTAATTTGATAATCAGATACACTATCGTTATAGGCCAACCATTTTTATATACGATATTATGTAAATTTATATGGTTGGCGTAATATATTATCGTTATATATGCCAACTATATAAATTACAAAAATAGATTATTTTAATTACCTAATATATCTATATATATATATATATATATATATATATATATATATATATATATATACATGTGTGTGTGTATATATATATATATGTATATGTGTATATATATATATATTACGGTTTTGCCCTATCATGATTTTTATTATTTTTTCTGATTGTTATTTTGTTGCAGGTGAGACCTAAAAAGCCATCTAAATATGTTTAAGCAATCTTGCATTTTATGATTGGATTTGAGGAAAAGAACGAGATTTTTCTTTAAAATCAGACTTGATTTTCATTATTTTTTTGCTTTTAGCAGACAATACAGTGATTGGTTTTTTTTTTTTTTTTTTTTTTTTTTTTTTAATAATTATGCATTAAGACTTCTCTTTATATTTTGTCTTGTTATTTTTCTCTTTTAGCTCCGATCCTTTTATGGGCGTATAATACATTAATTAATACAGTACTGTTTAACTAAAAATCATGTCAAATCTACGATTATCAGAACACTTTTTTTTTTTTTGATTTTTTTTGACAGAATTATCAGAACACTTATTCCTTCGATAGTTTGTATACTTTATTTCCGTCCATTAAACTCATGTCCAAAAAAATAAATAATCAAAGCCAAGCCTTACTTGGGTGTGATAAACTATACTTAACCTTCTCATGAGTTTTTGAGGCAAAATTAGATTTATGTAATTCATTAAAATTTTGAGTTGCAATAAACCGCTAACTTCACCCCTAGATAAATTAGAAGTTTTATGCAAAGACTAAAGGTGCGTTCTTTTCACATTAAAAATATAAGTTTCCAATTAGATTAGGTCTAATTAGTTAATCAAGTTTAATAAATTTAATTTTGATCAACTCAAGTGGTGTTAGAGAGCACACACAATAATGTATTGTGCTAGTCTACAACATTGGACCGATTCTTTGAGTTGAGTCGTTGGATTCAAACATACGTGTGATAAATAGAGTAATTTTAGATATACTTTCTATATGACCTTAGGGTAATTTAAAATGTACTACCTCCGTTTTTTTTTTTAAATGTATCAGTTTGACTTTTGTACTATTTATATGTCATATTTGACTTAATTTTATTACTATATAAATGTTATTATATAATATATCAATAGATTCGTCAAATGTCTACTTTTATATTATAATTTTGTTACAATTTTTACTAATAGACTATTAAAGATATTGATGGTCAAAGTTACGTCTTGGCAAATGTCCCGGTCAAAAAACAAAGGGAGTACTTCCTATACGACCTTTTATATACAAAGTATGACTATGCAACTACTATTTATTTTACAGAGCAAGGTAAAAATAACTATTCTAGAAAACTCTAAAATAGACTTGGTTCACACTAATTTATTGTGGACCACTAATAGTAGAGATATTATGGTTGTTTTATTAATAATAAAAAAGGTTACTATGTTAAATAAAAGGTTATTATGTTAAAATAAAAGTGATTGTGAGATTTTTTTTTAAATGAAATTTTTAAAATACAGGTCAATATGAATAATAAAGGTTACAAGGTTAAATAAGGGTCACTATGTTCAACATAACGTCATACTTTAGGTTTGCAATATTAAAAATTACACAAGTTTTAATACTCCCTCTATGTTTTAATAAGTGTTACAATTTGACCAAACACATGCCGAGACACAACTTTGACCATTAATTTATCTAATCATATATAAGTAAAATTATAGGAAAATTGATATTATGAAAGTATACACTATAACGAATCTAATGATGTATTATACAATAACATTTGTTTTTTATATATTAGTAAATTAATCAAGTCAAAACCATTATGTGAATAGTAAAAAAAGTCAAACTATAACACCTATTAAAACATAGAGGGAGTAAAGGTTACTATGTTAAGATTAAGATTACTCTATTTAATATTAGGGTCACTATGTTCAATAAGGTCGGTTGCGCACGTATAGACCTCATGTCCACAATAATATTATTGTGAACCAGGTCCGCACAAGTTTTTCTGGTGGATTGAAACCAAACGTACACTAGTCAACCCGAGCATGACTACGCAATTGCAACTCTATACATAAGGTAAAAAAAAACTATTATAGACCTTCTAATGTTAGTAATTTATACATAAAAAAAAAAACATCTTATATTGGAATTGTCTCAATGAATTGTTTAGTAAACTTTCATTATTATAATTTATTCCTATTGACAAGTAAAAGATATTAATGATCAAATATTTGCATCAGCATACCACATACATGCCTAGGATAAATGGAGCAAGTACTCTGTAATGTAATAAAATACGGAGTGACTGACAAATAAAAAGAACAGAGGGACAACAAGTTACGATGATGACTTAAATTATCTATCAATATATTACAAATTATAATATACGGAGCAATCTTTAAGGGATGTGTGAGAGTAAAGTTATGGTCCTTATGGTAATACAATTATGATATGGAGCAATTTTGATGGGACACTCTTTTATAAAAATTGAAGCAAACTAATAGGGACAAAAAGAGTGCGTAACCGTTGTTGCATATCAATGGCATGATGTTAATTTTGTAGAACAATAAAAAGTGATAGGACCACTTTACATCACTTTAATTTTCAAGAATTTAGTGTACCACTGTGATCATTTAAGTACCATTATCAGGCCACTCTCAGTGATTTATCTCCTCCCACAATCTAATCTTTTTCTTTTTAAATGATAAAAATAAAATTATAAAGTGGCACAGAAATAAATACACAAAATTGTGAGAGGAGATAAATTGAATATTAATCTTACAATACCATTACACTAATAATGGTACAATTTCACAAGTCACAACCTAATGGTATATAAATCAGGTTCAAAAGTACTCCCTCGGTTTTTTTTTTTTTTTAATGCATCAGTTTTCCGGCACATTTGTCGAGATGCAATTTTGACCACTAGTATCTTTAATTGACTATTAGTAAAAATTGTAACAAAATTATAACATTATGACTATTCTAATAATATATTATATAATAATATTTATTTATTTTATAGAGGTGAAAAAATTTAGTCAACCATGATATATGAATAATACAAAAGTCAAAGTGATGCATTTAAAAAACAAACGGAGGGAGTATACTATTATAGTCATCTTTAGTTCCATTATGACCATTTATAGATTATTTTATTATGAATGGTAAAATTATTACCAGTGTTAAACTTTCAAAATGTTTACAAGTTTGTCATGTTATGTATTCTCATATATACATAACGATAGTGCATTTGCACTTTCACGCACTACCATACCAAGCAAAGCTTGGTTGAGTTGGTGAGGTTCGAATTTGTTAATGGGAACTCACCTTTGTGACTTTGAAGTCACAAATTCGAGCCTCACCAACTACATTTGTTTGGCAGTAGAGGGATTCCCTTACCCCTTTTCCCCCTCCCCCCTCTACTCTCAAGCGTTGATCTGCAGAGTTGGACTAGTTTAACCTGTAACTCTGTAAGAGATACCGGTTTAATAGGGTATTTCATCTTACCTTAAAAAAAAGAAAACCTTCCTCTCACTACCATTATTTTTTCCAAAATGTTTATATTTACGCCATATTATCATTACTCTATATTATTTCTATTCAAAAAAATATATTTAATTATTTTACTATATGACGTGTTGGCACAAGAATATCTATTACAAAGTACTTCATTAATTATTTTAACCTTTAAAAAAAATAAAAAACACACTTCATTATTTATTTTCCAAATGTGAGGCAAAGGTACATATGCCTTGGGGAGAGGTTTTCCACTTTCTTTAGTTTTGATGTACTTGGGGAGAGGTTTTTTCCTAAACTTTGATATACTTGGGGAGAGGTTTTTCCTAAATAAAAAAACCTAACCCCACGTAATAGCATTGAATTTCCGCTATAAATATAACCGTAAATCTGCCTATAAAATATACCATTTCAATTTACAGTTTTCATCATCACCTTTTAAAGTTGATTCGAGTGATAAGTTACAAACAAAAATGCAAATATTTGTGAAAACTCTTACGGGTAAAACCATCACCCTTGAGGTTGAAACTAGTGATACCATTAACAACGTCAAGGCTAAAATCCATGACAAAGAAGGCATTCAACCCGATCAACAGCGTTTCATCTTCGCCGGAAAGCAGCTTGAAGACGACCGTACTCTTGCCGATTACAACATCCAGAAAGGTTATCATTTTTGAAATTAAGTTTGTTGTTGATTTACGTATCTCCATTTTTAAGGATGTTAACATTTTGAATATTAATACGTTATTATTTGGAAACTTCAATTTGACCTTAGCTTCATTTGTGAGTTATAAGAATAAAAATATAGTCATAAGATCATGTTAGATTTGTATAATTGTTAAAATGTTACATACATCATTATTATGCAACCGTGTTAATGTATAAATAAATCTAAAAAATATATAATGTGTAAATAAACTATATTTTTCAATTATGACTTTTTATATTTTCTACTAAATAAACTACAACTACAAATGATTAAAGTCTATGCATTGGAAATTGCGCGTAATACAAGTGTAACAAATTGGAGTGATTTGTTAAATAATCATCATTTGTTTTCGTCTTTGGTTTAATATTGCTAATAATTGTCGTTGTTGGTGTTGTAATATTGTAGAATCGACTCTTCACTTTGTCCTAAGGCTGAGAGGAGGAGGATACGGAACATTGTCACGTTATCAACCAAGTTTATTGGCTTTGGCTCAGAAATATAATCAACACAAGAAGGTTTGCCGCAAGTATGTTTTTCCGACTTCCCTACGATCCTGCTCGATTTTTTAGTCATGTGCCATACTCTTATCGATATCGATTTTGCATTGTTGTTCTTGTTGTGGTTGCTACATAATAATATATGATTGTTCATACGGAGTAACCTATAATCTATAATTAATACTATAATTAATACGTAGTAGTCAATAGTACAATAAAACTTAACATGGTCCAATTGGACCAATTAGCGATGTTGTACAAGAATTTAAACTTGATCTCTTTTACCCTATCAAAATATTATTCGTGACTTTAACCATTAATGTCAATCTGATCGAATCCCTGGATAATATTGTACGAAGTCTCCCTAATGTTTTAATGAAACAAATGTATCTAACTATATATGTATGTGATGGCCAGGTGCTATGCTCGGCTGCCTTTGAGGGCTACAAACTGCCGCAAGAAGAAATGTGGACATACCAATGAGGTATTGATCAGATTATATATTAATACTATACTATTTTTTTTTTTCTTGTCAATTTTATCTCATTATACTTTATAATTCGATCTCATTCTATTTAACTTGAATTAATTATACAGATAAGGGCTAAGAAGGTTTATTTGGCGAATGGGAAGGCCGGAGCGCGGTGATCTTGCTCAGAAGCTATGATTAAGTGTAAAATTAGGGACAACATTTATGTAGAATTAAAGTATTGGAATAAGCATTTGATGATGCATATAAACTTCTTAGAAGTTATATTATGTGATTAATAGTAGAGTACTCCGTATACCGTATTACCTTCATTTGATCACCTTTTCGATCTTAGGCTTGTCAAATTTTTGTTAGTTTATAGTGAGTTTATCTCATGTAATCAATAAAGTTGTTTTTTTTATGGTAATCTTTGAAATGTCCACCTTTAACCATCAAATTCAAGTATGTTAATGTGTAGATAGATACTTTTGCCTAACAAACCACCCTTAAATTAAAAAAAAAAAAAAAAAAAAAAAAAAACAACACTTAAATAACAAGTGGAGGGATTGTGGTTGCAGGATTAGAGATATTTTACATAGAATTACTATAAATACATACCCTTGGAAGCAATAGTCTGCTTATTACTCCATCCATTTCATTTTTATTCGCTTTTATGGTCAACTTTTGTGAAAAGTTAATAAATTCGTCTTAAAATAAATTTTAAACATATTAAATTCTTATAATTTTTAGACTTTGTAATGCTTTATATAATTAATCAAAATCTAATTCAACAAATAAATATTACAGTATAATTATAATCAACCATGCTTGATATAATTAATCAAAACCTAATTCGACAAATAAACATTACAATATAATTATAATCAACCACTAATGATCATTGAAAAATATAGTATTGTTGCAATATGAAAGTGCTAATTAATTTTGAAACTAATTTATCTCCCCTAAAAAGATGAATGAGCTAATCATTCATTTTAAAGGGTTTTTTCATTGTCCAAGCTTTAAGATGCTCGACAATCACAGCATTCGTACCATTATTAAAAACATATAAATGAGCCTTATTCATTATTGCTAGGTTGGGATAAACTCTTGATACTATGCATGTTTTGCCTCCCGCTCCAAAACTTTCCACAATGGAGTGATCAATCTGCACAAATTGAATTAAATAATTAAGTTGAAAATTAAATAGACTATATATATATACCATTTTAATATGAAAATAGGGAATAATACTTACCAAGGTTCTAAGAGAGATTTTCTTTTCAAACCTCAAATCTACATCTACAAAACCACCAAATGTTGGTTTGTATAATCCCTTTTCCGTTGAAGAACTTTTAAAAGCACAAAATTACATTAAAGTTAGCACACAATAATTAATAAAAAAAAATTTATTACCATATAAATAATAAAATAACGGACTGTAACAAAAAAAAATAAAAATAAAAATAAAAATACCTTGAGCCTTCAGAGCACATAAGAACTACATGTTTATTATTTTGGGCCTTGAAAACTCGAAAAAATATAGGAGTGTACTCCTCCAAATTATCTGAAGCAAGTGTTAGAAGCCCAAATGGTCCAACTCCTCCTCTCACATTTGATCCTATTTGGATGCACAAATCTTGGGGATCTACCCAATTAGAATCAAATGTATCCGCTTTCTCTAAATTTGGGATCTTGAATATTACCTCAACATCAGCCTACGTAAATAATTGAATTTGAGTTATCACGTTGTCAATATTATTTTCAATGTAAAATTTCGAGCTAACGATAAATACACACTAATATATACCTGAACCGGAGTTATTCCTTTAATTTCAAAACGATTTCCTGGTTTAAGTTGACGATTGTTCAGCTCAACTTTGTTAGCCCTTAATCTTTCCACTTCCTCAACCGGCCATTGTACCAATTGTTTTCCTTTTGGATCTAGCCATATCGATCTTGGTATAGCCTAAGATAATGTTAAATTGTCAAAAAAGAAATTAATCGACAAACCCAAAACAAAAGCAATTTAATTTCACGAGTTAATATTATTTATACATAAAAATATTATCTAATGAACCATTGCATTAGTTTTTAAATAATAAAATATATAATTAGATATAACATATACCTATGACAGTCGTTAAATCAAACAAAAAAATAGAGCCATCTTTAAAATTAAAAAATAAAATAAAAATACATATAGGAATAATGATTTTACCTGAATTCCAGCCCAACCTTTGAGGGCAGTAATGTCTGGGGTCCAAGACTCATTAGACCAACCCCACAAAATCCTACGACCCTTTTGAGAATCAAAAAATGTCTTTGATGCGTAAAAATTACCATAATCAAATCTTAACCCATTCCAACCATCAATTTTAGCATTATCCGGATAATACTGATCTTTATTGGCATCATACTTTCCAATAGTATAGTATTCAAATCTTGTAACATCAAGACTAACCTTTAGCACATGTTTCACATTTGAGCCCGTTGTTGAAGTGTCCAACCCATTTTTACTTCGGGTCGAAACCGGAAAAAAATCGGGACATTCCCACATACCCGTGTTTGGGGCCGAATGTAATGGGTGTTTAGCCTTGGTCCATTTTTTAAAATCTCTACTCTTATACAAATAGGCCACCCCCCTATGCTTTCTCCTACTACCCACCACAATATGCCAATGCCCTTGGGACCACCACGCAGTGGTCGGGTCCCGAAATAACGACGTGTTTACGTCCGAGGTTGGGGTAATGATCGGGTTGTAATCGGGTTTGACCCATTTTCGCAGATATGGATCGGATAAATTGGCTGGAATTGCAACATTTTGAACTTGTACACTAGTAGCGGTAAGACCTGTATAGAGTATAACAGGACGGTTACCGGGTAGGATCGTGGCTGATCCGGACCATACCCCATTTATGTCAAAGGGCTTCGACTCGTGGATTGCGGGTTCAAGAGCTTCCCAGTTGATTAAGTCCCCTGACACTGAGTGAGCCCAAACAATGTTGCCCCATGTAGATCCCCAAGGATTGTACTGGTAAAATAGATGGTACAAACCCTTGTAATACATAGGCCCTGTTTCAATGATATAATATCAATAAATAATTATTTAAAAATTAAGGATTAAACATAAAATGTAATCAAAGTATTTAATCGAGTTAAAATTACCATTTGGATCTGTTTTAGAATTGGACCGTTGCGAAATTGCATGACCAAAGAAGAAAAAAAAAATGGTTAGTGAAACAAGTCAAAAAAAGTACAAAAAAAAAATTATTAAACTTATCAAATGAGCATACATGCTTATTTGATAAGTTCTACGTAAAAAAAAATTGAAAATTTACAACGTAGTTGTGTAATACGAAATGTGTACACGTTTATTTTTAATTTTATATTTTTAAAGAAATGAGTACACGTTTGTTATTTTAAAGATATAACCAAATGCCTCTAGTTTATCCACTGCTAGAAATTAGATAACTAATTATATTATAAGTTCGTTTGTTATAAGATAGAAGCAAATGCCTCTAATCTATCCCACTGCTAGAACTTAGATAACTAATTATAATATAAGTTCATATTAAGGATCAGTATAATAAAAATATTCTATCAAACCAAAAATGCCTTCTTCCATAAAATAAAATTAAAAAAATAAATAAAAATGCATGTACAAATTTCATATAACAAAGAGATGTAATTATGATAGTAGACGACCAAATAAAATGAAAAATATCATATTTGAAGCAACGGAGGGTAACCTTTAACCACTTGTTGAACCCTTAAACCACAAGTGGGTGCTTGTGTGCTTGTATGATTAGAGATAATTTACATTAAATTAGTATAAATACATACCCTTGGACTCCCTCTACTAGAAATGATATCTCCAAATCATACGAACATTCGAAAATAAAAATTTAGACTTAAAAATGCGATCATTCCAACAAAAAATAGTAATTGTTATATTTTAGAAATTGGGTAAAAACCCATACTTATCATATTTGAATTCAAGTATTCCTATTAAAATTGATTTAGTGTATCACCCCAAAACAAATAAATTGCAATCAAATTACTCCATTATCAAATGTTTAATAATAATAACAATAGATTGCTGATTAAAATTCTTCAACACAATCACCGAAGAGATTAATTAATCAATTATAAAGAGCAAAGAAAATTACCATTTATCCAATGCTTCCGAGGTTGAAAGTGAAAACCAGTTCTATGGGTATGATCGACTTGATTGGCTACCAGAGATTGAAATTGTGGATACACATTATGTGATGCTTCTGCAACATTGTAAATTATTAAACATAAAATGATTGTTACTAAAAATTTAATCATCGTAAATTTCTTTATATTTTCTTGAGAGTATTTTGAGAGAAGAGTAGGGCATAAAATAAAGGATGAGTGAAGTTGACTATCCTATTTATAGAGCAATTTTTATTATTAAAAAAAAATATAAAAAAAAAAAAATTGCCAAATATCTATTTATTCTATATACAAAATTAATTGTCAGAATTATCCTAAAAATACACGGTATTAATTTTTTTTGTAAATACACAAATGAAATGATTTTATGCACAAGTAAATAATAATATAGGAGTAGATAATATTAACTTAATAATGATTTTACCTAAATGATAATATTGGAGTAGATAATATTAGTTTTAGTTCAGAAATTTTATTTTTTTTTTTTTTTTGAAAAGAAGGTTTAATTATTTAGAAAGTTAATAGTTAGTTAAAAAAATATTAATGACATATATTGTGAAAGTAATTAAGTTGTATCTGTATATGTAAATGATGTGGAAGATTTGAACCAGGGAATGGAAATGGATATATTATAAACACACTGTTAATTTGGATTCCTAGCAAACTTGGAAGATTATTAGAATAATATAAAAGTAAAATTAACAACTTGTGTATCCACTAATAAATAATGAACGAAGGTGATTTTCATAGTTGTGAAACTTTGACATGGGTTCTTCTAAAAAAAATTAAATCATTTTTTTTCTTCATCTCGATGTCCAATGGGTACTCATTCAAACCAAATATTTGGAACTCAAATTTCCTTTTTCATTACAGTGATCAATACAATTAATTTGATATTTTTCTAAAAAATCTCTATCTAAAATTAGAGCACGCAATCTTATATATTTAATGTCAAATTAATTTGGTGTTTTATAATATAATAATGTTGAGCATTTTTTGTTGGCTTTGATTTGGCTCGGGTAATTTTAATCAAGAGATTGTTACATACATCTGGGTGCACGGTACACCCATAAACATTTTTCTCTCATTTTGATGATTGTTTTTCATTTAATCATCAAACACAAACGTTTATATGTGGCTGACCACACCGTGCGGCCAACCATCATGGAGGTTACTTTGTTAGTGCTATAGAGGTAATTCACTCGGTCAGGGGTTACTAAGTCGGTCAGGGGTTACTCGGTCGGGGATTACTCACTCAGTCACAGGTTACTAAGTCGGTCAGCGATTACTCACTCAATCAAGGGTTATTAAGTCGGTCATGGATTACTTAATCGGTTGGGGGTTACTCGGTCGGTCAGAGGTTACTCGTCGACCAAGGGTTACTTGGAGTGTGTGTCTACTAGTCACACCGCATACAAAAGTTGCGCAGAAATATTTCAATTTGGTTTACTTAGGTGTATGGTACACTCGATGTGTATAAAATATTTTAATTTTAATCTGAATATCATCAATATACTTAATCAATTTGTTTAAGAATTATATGGCTTGGTCTTTCTTTTATTTTGTTTAAGAATTATATGGCTTGGTCTTTCATTTATATCATATCGTTGGTGATATGTAGATCAAGGTAAGTTTAACTTATATAAGCAAATATTTACTTATTTTAAATTATCAAATTATAGTAGACCATACCAGATAATACCAAATATCTTTTATCTGTATTTGTTTATAGCTAATATCTTTTATTTCATAATGAGAAAAATAATAAAATTTCGTATACTTTGTATTTTAGATTACGTTCTTATGAATATGTGATAATTTATTTTTGTAGTGGAGACCGGTTTATTTCATGTGAAGAAATCTAATGGAAAAAAATATTTTATAATGGAATAATAGTTGCTTTGCTAGAATAACTTAATTTAATACAGTACAATTTCTATTAACAACATTAAGGAGATATATATATACTTCTTTGTTTCATTTTCGTCATACAATGAGTTAAATTTGATAAATTTTGATTTTTTAAAAAATTATAAATTACAAAATGAAATCGACGTAACTTAGATTAGTGTCCAAAGTCATACTGCAACCCGACATATCAAGTATCTTAAATTTTGTTTCCCTCATTTTTTTTTTGTTGTCTATCAACCAAACAAACACTTAATATCAATTCCACTAAAACAATTTGTTTCAACCATACATATCATGACAATTTCCTACTAATTGCATAATGGAATTAACATCTTTTGAAATATATATACACATAGAAATTAATTAATTTTCCATGTGAACCAAACAACCAAACAAAAATATGATAAGTGGTACTTTTCTATGAATTATCAGGATAGACCTTTTTTTTTTTTTTTTAAGCCTATCAGGATAGACCTTAATTAATTTTAAATTTAAAAAAAGTGTTACATAATTCATTTAATTTCAATTTATAGACATTAAATAATTTTAAATTTAAAAAAATAATTACATAATTCATTTAATTTCAATTGACTATCATTGTTAATAAATATTATTATTATGAATTCAAAACTAAAATATACTAAAAGACATGCTTTTCATTCCTCACAAAAAAAAAAAAAAAAAAAAAGAAAAAAAAAAAGACATGCTTTTCATATTAACAAGTGGCATCTCCAGATGCATCCATCTTCTTTTTTTTTTTTTTTGGGTAAATATCTACCTATAAACTTTTATGTCCTTAATAAAAATGAACAAACCACTATCTAATTTCATAGAAGTAGTTTTGTTAGATGTAAAGATGATTTATTATTTGTAATTAATGTATATACGTGTATGTTGTGCTAATAGTTGTAATATATGTTGTTTGATTAATATTTTGATGTTTATTAATAAGACATTTAGAAGTAAACTATTATTTAAATTATATTGATGAAAAAAATGGCGGAGAAGGGAGACAGTATAAAATCATGGGTCATGAATACAGATTAACATTAGAATTTTCTTTGCTCTTGTAGAGGAGTTGAAAAAACAAATCTACCCATGGTTTTGATTTGAAATCTTATGAAGTAATAGTAATTAAGTTAAGTTTTTGTTAAATCTTTCTGTAATTTCACCGACTTACATTTTATTTTATTTTTTTTGAAACGGTTTTTTTCAAAAAAAAATATATATAAATTGGTAAAGACATAGTACATGATACTTCAAAATATGAGATAAATAAAATAGCGAAATAGTAAAGATAAAATGGGAGAAAGAATTTTAAGATCACAAATTTTTTTAATAAGGCCGACTATTTATGTCATTTAAGTTAGATGCACATATTAAAAGTAGAAAATTAGTCGACATGTATGAAACACTTCTTGGAAGGCTTTTTAGAATCCATCTTGATCTTTTTATCTTTTTTAAGCTTTTCATTCTCTTCCTATTTCGTACATAATCGAGTATAATTTGTAATCGAATCGAATGGAGTCGATTATCTATGATATAGGAACACTATGCAAATTAGAAACGTTCGTTCTCAATTTTTTTTTTTTTTTTTTTGATGGACGTTCGTTCTCAATTCAAATGGTATATAGACCGCTCTATTTTATACTTCTTTACTTTCCTCTTTTCTAGATGATATGTTTTTTTTGTTATGTTTGCTAACACACAAGTTCAACAATTAATATTTTTAACAATGAATAAGTAAATTATTAAAAAAAGTTGATATTATATACTGAAAATATATATAAAGTATTTTTGTATATATATTTGGTAGATAATATATATTGTGGCGAATTTAATAAAATTTCACATGATTATATTTTATAGTTAAAATCAAAACATGTTTATTAAATAAGAACGAAAATAAAACATAACAAAAAAATCTATATTAATCTAAAAAAAAAGCATTCCTAAGAACATTTATGCGCCACTTAGGCCCCCTCATTACACCACGTCACTCACAAAACTCCTCATTATGCATGCCACATCACCTACTCAACTCCTCAATATATATGCCACATCACCCACACAACCAACAATATTCCATGTTGTCTCAACTATATTGGAAAAAATATATACTTCGTATAGATGAATAGATTCAAACACTTAACCTCTTAGAAAAACATTATTGTTTAACCATCTAGGCTAATTGTCAATTGTGCTCTAACCTTACACACAAATTAATATTATACTACAAAAGTATTGAAGACACAAACTACCTACAAACTATTAAAGGGCCTTAAAAAGAAGCAGTTGTACAATTACAAAAGTAGTAACCTGTAGCAACGCCCGGACTACTCACTAATGTAATATTAAATGGTGATAAAATGACCGCATTTGTAATAAAATATAAAAATAAAAATAAAAAATATGTAAGTAGTAACTCTTTTACCCTGGTTTTTTTTTTTTTACTTCTTAAATTATTATGTTTGTTCATAAATATTCCTCACTACTTGTTAGCTGGAATTTATTTGGTTTAATAGACTATTATGATGAACCAAAAAAAATGAAATGATTGGATCAAATCCCACTCCCTAGCAATAAAAATAAAAATAAATAAAATAAAAATTATTTTCATTTTACACGATAGCGTAATTCATTGTCAAATTACAGCTAGCTAGTTATCAAATACTTTTACAACACTATTACAATCAGGTAATTAAGCCAGCTAATTTAGCGAGTTAAACCCGGATTGCCAAATAAGACCTAATTGAGAAAAGTTAAAGAAATGGCCTTCTATAGAGCCTTCCACGTCAAGAAACGATGGATGCTAAAAGAAAAGAGCATAGGTAAGTGTCAAAAACCATAGCCTAAACTTGGTAAAAACATTTTAATAGTTCATTAGAATTGCTTTAGCAAATTTTATATAAAGGAGGCAACTAGAATCATGTGGTTTGGGATCCAACACATCTTTCCCATCCAACATTGCAAAATTAAACTACTGATCTCTAGCTTTTTCTATGTTACTTAACTTAGATGAGTAAATGTTGACCCTAAAATAGGTGCATTCAGGTTTTTTTTTTTTTTTTTTTTGACATGAGCTTATTAAAGCTGAGTAATATGCGAAAAAGATAGTAAAGTAGCATCGACATAAATTGCGACGATGTGAGGAATTTTAGGTAATAACAATTGGGTGGCTAAACACTTCAAAGAAGGTAGAATCCCTTTCAATTGAGTAAGTTATGCATAGAGATGGAAATTCAGCCAACTTACTTCTCACAGATAGACCTTTTCGTAGTCTTAGCGTAGTGATTTAACCAAAGGTTGTGTTAGATCATCATGTGATTGTTAAATTGGAATTGTTCCCTGAACATGTAAATTTATAATAAAACTATTTAATTTAATTTGGTGATTTTGATAATGATTATTACGGAGTACCTCTGTTTCAGGTTAAATGTAACAGTTTAATTGACACATCACACATGTATCAATGCACAACTTTAAACATCAATGTTTCAAATATTAGAAAGAAAAATAAAAGCTCATATGTTAGTATGAGTACATATAGATGAATCTAAAAGTCATATATTCTAACATTTGAGTTAGACATATAAAAAAAAAATTTGGTATATTATTATGTTTACTAATTTGTCTAAATTATAAAGCACATTACTAATTTGCCATCTTAAAAATTACTCCAATAGTCTAATCTATGGCGCATTTGTAATGGAAAAACTTGGTCTATCCATCAGATTAGTTACCTCCTCTAATTAACTTTAGTAGTATAAGATCCAAGTCATCTGGAAGTATATTTGATAATTTATTAGTAATGGGTTTATCAGGAAATTATATGCGTTAATAAAACTTAGTGTTGTTGTAGACTTATTAGGTGATTAGTAATGGGTTTATCAGGATATTTTTCTCCGAATGCTTACTAGTTTATCAGGGTTATCTTGCAATTGGGTAGATTAATAGATGTAGCCATTTTCACCCGTAATTGGACACAACTTCGAGTTTGTTTTTTAGCTAATCCTAACATGTACGAGTACTCAATAACATTAACAGATACAGAACACAAACCAATCAGTCATAAAGGAGTGCAAATATTGAACATTGCTGTAGTTGCAACATTTTTCTTAATGGAACAAAGCAGACGTATAAACAGCTCTGCAATAATGATAAGACTGTAATTGCTTTCCCAATAAATTGGTTTAAACCAAAGTAGTTTGTATCTTACAACACGTTCATATTCAACAATATGGCTATCTGAGTGAACAACTTCATTGCAATACAATTCACCCTGTGATCTACACTATATATAAGTTGTTAAATTCCAAGATGGAATTTATTCAACGCATTGCATCGGTGCCACAGCTCAGACCCCTAGCTACAGAAATTAGAAAATAGAAATGTGTTTCACTATGCTTCTGGCAATAACAATAACAGCATACATGGAAGTTACATACTTCGTATATATTAGCAGGTAAATGCACCACAACCCATCATTGCCAAAATTTTCAGTTCCGTTCTACTAAGGGTGATCGTGGTATGAGAGAAGGTTTTACTTCTTTATCTTCCACTGACTCATAAGGATGATTTTCTCGAAATTCTTCTAAAAGAGTATCCATTGGCATGGTGCACAAGGCCTCAATAGTGCCCTTGCTTGGAACATCTGTCTCACATCTTACTGGTGTCGCCCCAGTTGGTTCATAATCCTGAGAAAACAAGAATTTTTAATCAGAATTCTGAGAGCATTTGATATCAACTTCATCATGCCCAATGATTATATTCAAAATTTTGAGAGCATTTAATATCAACTTCATCATGCCCAATGATTAAGTCACCATGCCAGCAATCTGAATTCTGAGAGCATTTAATATCAACTTCATCATGCCCAGTGATTATATTCAAAATTGTTCTTACCAACAACTTTCAGTTCTACAACTAATAAACTCTTCCTAGGTACTTCATATGGTTTTATTAAATTCTTAATCCGGATTCAGCACAGCAGGTTGTTTAACCAGACAGTTTTAAGAGCACAGCTATAAGCTATATCCTTACCATATATCTCTGCTGGAAAGTCGTCTGTGCCTCATTTTCAATACATACAACCTGCCCAGCATGATCCTCCCTGAAAACTTCAAGGTTCTCTACCTGAGTTTTGACAGATGAACATATACCCGACATTTCTCCATTTTGCCTCTCCGACAATCCTGTGAAAAAATTGCACCAGATTACAAAAAATAATTTGAGAACTGAACCCAGATATTATCCCAGTGTTTTTTTAAGCACACAAGGTGACTGAGAAAAACAAAGAAACCAATATCCACATGTACAAATCAAACACAAAAGCACCAGATTTTGGCAAAGAAAATGTGTATAACCAAAAGACAGACAATTTCAAGTGTTTCTGTGAGGATAAAAGTCACAGTTTTACTTCCAAACCTTCTATTAGATCACCCATAAGCTAACTTCAACCAAACCAGCCATAGGAATTGAGCAATAATTCTTATATCATCAATCCATCAACCGTATGGCACTTCATTATAGAAGACTTAAAGCTGAATTCCCCAAGTGACTGATTTCACTTCCATCGAGTGCATCAAGAATTAGAAACATACGGAAAGCAGAAATTATCTAGTACATCAAGAGGAGCAATTTTCTCTAAAATCATTCCAAAAGCCTAGAGAAGTGAATTTAGGCGTTCCCACAAAAATATCTTATCCCCCACTTTCCTCAAATCCTATATTTTTATAATTGCAACCTTCAGCTCCTATATATTTGGGAGAGAGTACCTTTATCTCTCTTATTTCTTATAATAATTTTTTTAAATTTGAGATGAATAGCAAAAGCAAATAACTTTTTCTTCATCTTCAATCCACAATGTCCAACTTTCTCCTACATCATTTATCCCTCTCCAACTGTAGTTTCAAATAAGGTTATAGTTCATCTTCCACAAAGATGCAAAACCTAAGTTTGTTAAATGTAGTGTATTACACGCACCGAATCCTAGACATTATATTTTATTCTCTTTTCATGTGTATACTCCTACCAACTTTTGATAAATTCTGTTTTATATGTAATTATTCTATCTAGAGCAAATTAACAACATTTGTTGTCCTAGACCATTATCAAAATAAATTTAGTCACTGTTTCCCTTACATATTTTGTCTGTTATTCCCTTAATATTCATTAAATATTAGCTCATTTTCAACAAATATAATAACTGGTAGGAAATAAGTTATAAAATGACAGTCATAAAGATCCAACTTACAGTATCAAACTTTAAAACATAAGTGTCTAAATCGCTTCATTCGTCATCACAATATAAAAACATTGAGCACAGTAGATATTAATTACTGTCATCAATACAATATTAACAAGACTCTCAGTAAGATCACAACCATAACAAAAAACTTACTATCTAGATCGTGCACAATATCTTCACTGCATTTAGCTGCATCTTGACCAGCTGCAACCCTTGCAGAATCAACTTCTGAATCATGCTGCTCATGGCTTTCTAACATGCTCCTGCACATAGATAATATGATATATGACATAGTATCATAGACAAAGTAAACTGGTTGGATCAATAGTTATTCTCTAAATTTAAGACTGCTACGCAGAATCATGACTGCCAGAGCATGCAATATGCTGCAGCATCTGGAGGTTTTTATGAATAATACAATCCAAAAAACTTGAAAGCATTTGTAACCGAATACTGACCTCACTAAAGAAATCATCGTTGAAGCTTGATTACTGCATTTCTCATTTACAGACTCATGAGTCGTCTTCAACTGCTTGGAAGCCGTCTCAGCCGTGCTCACACTAAATTTTGAAAAAGAATAAGAGAATGGTCAGCAAATGTTTATGTGCAAGATGAAACCAATAAAAATAACATACAAATGACTAAATGAAACAATTCCACAATCAACACATGCATGACCATTGTTGATCAGAAGACCAACCATTTCTGTAAAAGCAACTCCATGCTACAATGTTGAGCTGCTGAGTAATCAGCATTATCATTCGTATTACTCTCAGCCTGCATCGAGAATGTCTGCCATTTTCGTTTTGCATCAGTTGTGAAGCCCTCCAAAGATGAAACATGCTCATCCAAGTAAACTTTGTTTGCAATAGCAGTCTCTCGAAGATCAATGAGTCTTGCATCAACCTGCATGGTAATTTCTTAGAATTTTATCAAAATACCAAAACAGAAAGACAGGAGTAGAAACCACAAAGTGACCCACATACCATCTCTTTCTGACGACGAATGTGGCTGGTTACTAAATCAGTCACATCGGCTAGAAGCTTTTCAGCATCAGATCTAGATTGTTCCTACAAATAGCCCCCATAAAACACCATAAACATCAACAAAATCATAATGTAATACTTACACGCACAAAAAAAAAAAAAAAAAAAAAAGCAACAGACCTCAAATGCTTTCTGGAATTCAGAAATACTATTTATCTGAATCTTCTCAATCTGAGATGCATGAACACCAAGCTTGCTCGATTCTTCAGTCATCTTTTGCAAATAAATATTTATGAATTCTGCAATCCCCTTCATGTGCTCAATGCTATCATGAAACCTCTGCATTTCCACACAAAAAAATATACATAAATTAAACTCCTCTGTGATCCCTCCAAACAAATGCATAGAAGTGCAAATGCCCATATAAACAGTGACAGATTCAGATTTAAGTACTCAAAAAAAGTAATTACTATCTAAATAAGAGAATGCTCCTAATAGTTCATGAGTTAAAAACACCAACCTGACGCAGTTCCCGGGCAAAAAGTGCCATTTCCCCTTGGTGGCTTGCAAGAGTTGCTTGAAGATCATCATATATAGACATTGCTTTGCCATCCTCAACCTCAAGAAACTAATACCAAAAAAAAATTAAGTAAAAAAGTTTAGAGGCTGAAAAGCCAATTGTACAAAGGCATACACGTCCATATTAGTTGTTCATGTAAAACGCTTAAATTGAGTAATCATCATGAAGTGAATATCTTTTCACAAATGCTAGTTGATGCTTGATTTGAACCCAGTAATCAAGTTAGAAGTAACAGGGTTAACCACATAAAAATTAAGGACCAAACACATAGGTAAGCATTACAAAAACCTAAACATTGGTTTTCCTAACCTACCTCTTCAATAGACCTAGTATTGGAAGAAGCTAGAGAAGCCATCTCCTCCAAATTAGCATCAGTGCCTGCTTTGTGCAAACGAACAACATTTTGTAGAGCATCAACATGGGAAATATACAAAGTCTTTGAAGCCACCACTTTTTTCTTCAAATCAGTCACAGCCTGCAGACAAATTTCATGCAAAAATAATATAATGTTGAGATCATATCATGTATGAAAGCCATAGATCATCAAACATTAGACATCACGTGCAGGAACAAGACGTTAAAAACAAGTTCAACCATAACTGGATCTGATTACCTACCTCATTATGGTTATGAATCATTGAATGGCAGAGCTTATCAATACTTTGTAGGTTTTCATTTTGTTGAGACATGGAAGAAGCTACTGTACTGCAAAGGGAACCAAGTCGCTTTAAAAGCTCAGTTTGGTAATTTTCCACCACTGACTTGTTATCAGCACTAAGCTGGTCCTCTCTATCTGTTCCTCAAAGCGAAATCATTTTAGATATCAAATATGATGTGCATGTAGCAAGTGATGAACAATAAAATAACAGAAACAAGCTTCATACCAATTTTTGAATGTAGTGAGGCATTATCTTGAAGGGCTTTCTCCAGGTCTGAGCGCAACTCACAAGCTTGATGAGTCAATACTCTCTCTGTTTAGATCATGAAAGAAAATTTTTGGTGATCAGAACACCCAGAACCACCAGCCAACAAAAGATCTTAATAAATTTCAAACACAGTTCAACCTGCTTTTTTCTGCTCGGATATTATAAACTCTTTTTCTTTAAGAGTGTATTTGCTTTTCTTCAGTTCCTCTTCAGTGCCAGTTAGCAATTTTCTAGTGAGACTCAAGTCTTTCTGCAAAGAAGACATTGCCTGTCAAAATTTCGCATGGCACATAAACAACAGCATACTATAGGCAGTAGCAGGATGCATCACCTGTGTTGAATCAAGCTTTCGACTCAAGTCAGAGCATTCTTGAACTTGAGCAGCATATCTTCCTTGCAAATCTTCAACTTGCTATTTCAATGGCAAATTACAATTAACACTACAATAAGTTTAACAAGTACAAATTCTCAAAACAAAAAAGTATCATACCTTCTGCTGGTTCTCAATTGTGACTCCCATCTGCTCAATCTGATCAGCCATTGTCTACATATGTAATATTATAAATTAGCGATATTTTGTATGAACATGAAGACTATGTATGCATAGTGAAGCCGAAAAACAAACGACACAATGATACAAACATACTTATAAACAAGGAAACTCTATGCTCTTAACTGCAGCACAGTCAGACAAAGTCATAAGGAGGAGGAGGATGTTAATACCTTTCGTTCAGTTTCTTCTTGGTAGTAACGATCTTTTGGAATATATACTCCATTTTTTTCTCGTGCAGCATAAACCTCTAAAAGAAGGTTACAGGTTCAGTTAAACATTTCAAAAAGAATGAATAAATCACATCACTTATAGACAAAAGTTTCTCACCTCCCTTCAGTCTCTCAATTTCACCATAGAGATCTTTTATCAGTGTTGATTTCATCATTTTTTGATTTATCTGTATAATATTTACACATTAATGCTATCATCTAAGGTAAATTTCTAGAGTAAAGAAAGAAATTAAACAAAAAGTAATAATCAAACTACAAAATAAAATATTAAAAAATGAACATAACACCATGTAAATAAAATTAAATAAAAAATAAAAAAAAAAATAAAAAAAAAAAAAAAAAAAAAAAAAAACAGCAAGACATAGTGCAAAAAAACAGAATCACTGTACAGTTTGAAGTACTTGCAATATTTGGATCATCTATTACATATAGACTGGAATATCATGGAACCAACCTCTGGCTTGTTCTTGATATGCTTAGCTCTGTGTGCATAGTCCAAAGTGCTTAAGGTCTCCTCAAGACAATGGACGGCAGGTGACACTGTTGCTATGATGCATGTCTTTGTCCGTCCACCAAGTGAATCACGCAATAATCTTGTGAGTTTGCTATCCCTACACATTCCCATTATTGAAAGGTTAGCTTTAATGACTGACAATTAAAAGTTTTACATAAACTAGCCAAATCACTGACCTGTAGGGAATATGTCCAAGATGCTCTACCAGAGCATTGATAACTCGCCCTAGTGTGAGTAGACTTTTGTTAATCTCTCCAGCTTCTCTTGCACGACCCTAAGAATTAGATCAGCACAGTAAGTTATTACTAGATATCACTTTAGATTAAGATCATATTAGATATGTCCCCAAATGCAGGAACAGCAAACATTACAGTGGCATGTCGGCAAAATGTAAATGAAAGATATAAAAAAAAAAAAAAAAAAAGTATCAGACCTCACGAGCCCCAGACCGAGAAATATTCTCTGATCCTGCTAAATCAACCAAATTAAGCTTTCCACATTTGATGAGCTCTTCCCCTTCTGGTGTTGCTTCTTTAATGTGTATGGTAATAGAAAACAAAGAATGTGATCGACTGAAAAATAACAATAAAACAATGAGTCCTTCCCATCCTTTCGGTTTCTTTTTCTAAAACGGGTTTTTGGGTATGATGAACACATAACAGGTAAAGTTAAGTTTGATCAAAGACCTTGATTGTTTATTTAGAAGAGTTTCAGCAGTGCGACGTTTGGCTGATCCCCTTTCAAGTAGGGTAAAGATCTCACTAGCACTGGTGACAATTTCCTCTTCCAACCCCCTGACCAGCACACCTCCTTTACCATCCTCCATAAGAGGCAGCTGCTTCTTCTGCCTATCCTCCAGAGCAGCTTTCGAAATTTCTTCTGGTGCCAATAAATCAGTAATTTCTTCATTATACAACTCCAAAAAAGTGACCTTTACACTATACTCAGCATTTTGACTCTCCAATGTATCAAATATCTGCTTAATAGCTCTAGGTATGACTCCTGCTCCAATGGGTAGTTCTCCATTCGGACCGCTCTGCCACGTTTTGCAAGGTAAATCAACCAACCATTCAGTAACAAAGATTCAATGTCAAGGACCTCAACAAGTAACAAACAGTAGTAGTTCATGTACCTTGTTTTTTTTACAGTCACCTTCCATTGTATATGTTTTACCTGTACCAGTTTGACCATACGCGAAAATGGTACAGTTAAATCCCTCTAGAACTTCATTCACTATGGGGGTAATTGCTTGATCATATAGTTCTCTTTGCTGGGATGTTGGACCAAATACCTGCACACACACCCCCACCAATCAAATTCGACGCTGAGACCAAATGTTCATGTCCTCTCTACTAGGGTTTTAATACATTTTACTCATCCCCAAACATATCAAGATTATCAACAAACGTTGCACATTAGCCAAAATTCACACATTGAATTTATTGTTACATCAAATCGAATTCATTTCGACATTTGATTAAACAATTAAACACCATGTCTTGATAAACTAAATAACATCATTGAGTCATTTCCTTAGATAACTTCTAAAATAGCACAATTGTACACCACTATCACAGAGTCACTAACCCTAACTAAGCTAACCAGTTTCGATTCCGATTCGAAACAACAATTACTATAATTCAAAGCGTCATTCTTGTGATATTATCACTTCCCCTAGTTTAAATTAAAAAAAAAAAACAATTAAAATAATTGTCACAATTTTGAAATAAATCAATCGAAAACCCTTGATAAATTAAATTAAATCAAACAAAATTACCTTATCAAAAGCGAAAACCCTATCAAAATGTTTGCCAGCAATATTCTGAGAAACAGCAACTTCCCTCTGATAATCATTACAAGTAACAACTTGCGGCGCATTATTCCGCAGCTCTTCATCGCTAAACGGCCTGTAATTAAATCACTCCCAAATAAAAATCAAAAATCCTCATCAATTTTCAATCCCATACTTATTCAAAAACCCTAATCACACATTTCCAAAACCCTGAATCATAATACAAATAACACTCAAAAAAATTCAAAAACTCAAAAAATCAAATGATTAGTATTACCTGCAACGAAGAATGACTTGAACATTAACACCTTTCTCCTTATTCGACATTTTTGTTGTTCAAATTTCTCTTCAAATGTTGAAGAGAAAGAGAAAAGGCTGAAGATCTGCAAATTTTTCTGTGACTTTTTTCGATTTGAATGAATTTGTAAGTAAAATTTTCTCTCTCTAAAAGTTTGAAGTGTGGAAAGAGGAGAGAGAGAGAAGCGGGATGAAGGAGAAATTTGAAATTTGGAGGTGCGCTCCTCGTTAATTGTAAAGCTTATTTGGATGTTTGCGTTTCAAGTTTTTTTATTTTTTTTGGATCTAATGGTTGGAAATTGATGATTGGATTTGAAAGAAAATGGACGGTGATGATTTGATGAGATGAGATGAGGGAGTATTTTTCTAAATTTTTTGGGTTTTTAATATTAATTTGAATTTAATGTACGTTGGCCCAAGTAGATGATGAATTGGATTAGGCCACTAGGGTTTTTAACATTGTGATAAGTGTTTGTTTGGTCCTATTGCGATATTTGGCCCATGTTACATCAAGGATTAACCAATTTGACTTGGGTAGTTTTAGATTGGCGTTTGTGGCAAATGAGCCCCATAACTTAAGACATATGTGCAAAATAGTCCCCTAAGTACTAATAATAGTAAATTAACCCCATTACTTTTAAATCGTGCAATTTAACTCCCATCATATATTTTCCATGACATTTAATCTAAATACATAAAATAAATCGGAAAACAACTACTACGTAAATTTTTCCCTAAATAAATACTGTACACGTATATTTATGCTGATATAGTTCATGACATTTGTATCCCATTATTCTCATCTTACTTACTTTTGGTTTTCATCTTCATCAAATATAAGACACAACTTTCCCATCGCCATAGCCATCGTCGACCGGGGCTCCAACCAACATAGCACAGCTAGGGACTATGATTGCGAAGTTATTGGTTCTTTTTCATCAAACTAAATATTCAAAGGTAATACTCATTTGTCAATTACAAAGTTGTTAATCAAGTCCATATTTTTATCTTATTATGAATGTTGTAAGTTTATTTGTTAATTGATTTATAGACTGAAATAGTTGCACAATTTCATGTATAAAACTGAATGTTGTAAGTTTATTTCCCAATTACATAATATCTTGATGTGTTTCTAAAGGAAAAATTAATTTTTGGTTTTAATCATGGTTTACATTTTGAGAGAGAAATCAAGTTACCTGTAGAGGAAGCCATGGAAGAGAGTTGAGATGTTTTGGAGAGCGTTGTGCTTGAACGTGCTGCTGTTGTTCATGTAGTTCACTTTTTTTGTATGCATTTTTTAATTTCATTATAGAGTTATTGTATATGGGTTATAACCATAACATACTTCAAATGTACAAGGGTTGTATATGGATAGTTTAAGGATAGTATAGTGGTAAAATTATAGTGGTATTCCAACGAAATTATTATTTTCAAATTATATATGGCCGGAATATATCATTTATGTGTTAATTACATGTTTACAAAAGGTGTCGGGCTTATTTGCTTCAATTAATTCTAAAGGGACTGATTTGCACATAAGTCATAAGTTATGGGGCTCATTTGCCACATATTCCGTTTTGGTTTTACAGTGTTAGTCATCTCACATTTCACAAGTTTTGTTTTCATTATGGATGTTTTAAATGATTTTGGGAATGTCTCGGGCCTTTGGGTTAATTAGAATAAGTCTACTATAATTTTTCCAAAGAAAATGTGTCATAGTATTCGAAAGGATCTCATCCAGGAATTTGATTTTTCCTCTACTATTTCTTTTAGCAAATATCTTGGGGTAGAGATTAATCCTAATAAGTTAAAGAAAAGTGATTACTTACGGCTTCTTGATAAAACTTTTGATAGAATAAAGGGATGGCAATCTAAGTTGCTTAATCTAGCTGGAAGGTGCACTCTAGTAAAATCGGTTTTATCTTCTTTTCCAATTTATTTAATGCAGACTAGCCCTCTTCCGATTTCAAATTTGTGAGGACATAGAAAAACAATGTAGAAAATTTCTTTGGAACAAGGTTGATAGGACAAAATACTCTTCAAGACTAGGATGGAATCATGTTACCAAGCCAATGGAGATTGGGGGCCTAGGGATTAGATGGCTTAAGTTGTGGAATATTGCATTCGTAGCTAAGTTAGGGTGGACTATGTTAGCTAATCCTTCAAAGCTTTGGGCAAGAATTTTAAATGAAAAATACTTAAAACATAGTGCTCTCTTTGACTGTAATGCTAATGCTTCTCAATCACAAATTTGGAAGGATATTTTGAAGGGAAGACATTTATTGGCATCGAGTTTAAGAGTTGGTATTGGCAATGGTAGAACTACCTCTCTTTGGTATCACCATTGGGTAGGTAAGGCTCCCTTGTACACTCTCATTAATGTTGAAGTTCCTAATTCAAAGGGGCGTTGGAGTGTTGCAAATATAATTAGGAATGAATGTTGGTACTTGAGGGACGTTGAGCATCTTTTACCTTCATATATTATAACATTGATTAAAGCAACTCCTTTATCCAAAATTCATGACATGGAAGACTTTATAACTTGGGATCTTAGCAAAACAGAGATTTTCACAATAAAATCAGCTTTACCATTTCTTGTTAAAGGATTCCTGTAGTCCTTATAATAATTTGCATTCTTGGAAATCTTTATGGAAAATACATGCTCCTTTTAAATATAGAATGTTGGCTTGGAATTGTGCACATTGTATCTTACCTGTGGCAGAAACTATTTCCTTATATGCCTCTTATTTCTCCAGTTTGCTCAAGATGTAATTTGTACAATGAATCACATATCCATTTGCTTTACATCCTCTATATTATGGAATGACATATTTGCTAAATTGAGAAGTAGGTTGTGTATCACAATTTGATGTAAAAAACAACTCATTTTGTATTTCAATATCCAATGTTAAGTCTCACCATTGGAGATGGTATAAACTTTCTAAAGTCTATTGTGGTCTTGTTTGAATTTTTTTGATCTGATTTAATAATTTGATTGAACAAAACTTTGACTTTAATTGTACATCGATATGTAAGAAAAAAACATTATCCAATGGGATCTCATTAGACACATCTCAACATGTATTTTTCAAACACTTAATTTTCATAACTTTTACAAATACGAAATTAAAGATATATTTCAATAAGTGAACGTAGTTTAGAAGATTTGATCTAATAAGGTGAAGTGAACAAAGAGTCCTAACATATTGTTGTCCCTTAGCTCATGCACCTCTTTCCCCGGCCTCCTTCTCCTCCAACTCGACCATCTTTTCCGACTAATCCTGAAAAAAAGCATATTCCTTTAGACCGTACGTATCAAAATAACAACACCCCAAAATCATATAACAAATATAATAATCAAAAATCCATAATCAAAGGTACGGAAGTTCCATTTCATATAAAGGTCGCCTAAAGGTAACTAATTATCCCATTAAAAATGCTATTAATAAACGAAAAATGATTATCATAAAGATTATTCGACAACACACTATCACTCTTCAATAATAACGACCAAAATAAAAAGAATATACTACATATATATTAGACCTAATCCTTGCGAAGAGCGTGATTACCATTTCGAAATCTTAAAAGCTAACATGTGCAATGCATAGCAAATTCAGAGTCTTACACCCACTGTTGTTCATAGTGGCTCAACTCTTCGATTTATTTAGTCCAAGTTTACGAATCAGATATTAGGTATTTGAAATCGTCTGAAGTACTCATCTCGTGTTAAGAAAGCACTCATTTTGCAGACTTATGTATGTTCTTTGATTTTGATTGAAGAGTTGCCATTGTTACTCATTTCAAATATGTTTAATTTTTACTTTTTTCTTTTTTTTTTTTTTTTTTTTTTTGTCAATTTTACAATTTTACTTTGGTCAAATTTACATTAATTTTTAAAAATCAAATCAAAATGTAAGTTCAACAATTAAGTGTTCTGCACATTAGAAAAAAAATATATGAAGTACCCCATATATAAAATCATAGAGGAATATAATTATTAGATTATCAAGGAAATAATTTGGGAGATTTGAAAAGGGAAAGATGATTTAATATTTTCAAGATAAAAATTAAATAAATAAGTTCTCACAATTAGTTTGTGGACTAGTACAGTGCCCGTACGATGCACGGTGTTAAAAAATATTTATTTTGTTGATAATTTAAAATAAATTTAAATAATTAAGTATTAGTGGACTCTAGTATATTAATAAACGCATCATTACATGTTATATATATAATTTACAATATTCCTCAAAAAAAAGAAAAAAAAAACATATAATTTACAATAATGGCCAACACAAAAATTATGGAAGGAATTTTCAAATAACATTATAAAGGCGGAGTTAATTTTAGAAGGAGTCGGATCAAATTTATTATAAACACCTCAAATTAGTAAAAGCCTTACTTAAAAAAACTCTATATATAGGTTATACAGGAAAGAAAAAAATCAATTATATAAGGCTATGGTAAATGTTAGTTATTTCAAAAGGCTTATGTAAAATTTGACAAAAATTCACTAAAATATGACTCATATACTCAAAAAAATATATTAATAGTACATTATTAAGATAATTTTTATATTAGAGTATCAGTTAGTTGAATTAAATATGTGCTTACAGCTTACTCATAAAAGTGTAGTTTTGATCTAAAAATATTATGATTGAATAAAAATAAAAATAAAAAGATAGTTACATATTCATGCAACTTGTATGTATGATTAATGCCAAAATTATATAGATGGAAAAATATGTCTACATTTGACATATCAATTTTGAATATATATTGGGTTATCAAAGTTTTTATAGTTGATTGATTTAAACAATCATTCTATGTTTAATGCAATAAATAATATATGCGATAAATTAGTTCCTTTTATTATTATTATATTCTAAATATAATCTAGTACTATAAAGTCTAGTTATTTAAGTCTATTATAATATTTTATTTTTAGTTATTTCCATAAATACATAGTGACAAAAAAATAAATAGAATGATTAAGAATAGCTTTCATTACTATTTTTTTTCGGAAATAAGTTTTGGAGGGAAAAAAAAAATACACCAGGAAGTGACACGTGTAATTCCTGGTGTCTGTTTTAGTATTATGTTATTGATTGCTAGGATCAAATACATACGACTAATAAATGAGTCTAAAGAATATTTGTTTAGAATATTTATTATTTAGAATATTTGTTTAGTTTACTGCTGACTTGTTAATTATGTTTATTGATATGTGCAACAGGAAGAGTGGATATTGATCAGTTTCTATATAAGGACAGGATCCCTAACATCATCA